TAAAGACGAAAGTTGTTTTTAAGGAACACTTAAGAGATCTTTCATTTTGTATTAAGGTCAAGTCCAGGTTCTCAAACAAAAACGTGCAAAACAGGTTATCAATTGTTAGCAATGCTTCCTAGACTTTAATCATGTTTAGATATCAGATATTGCTTTTCTATTATGGTCCATATCAATATCAAAATATCTGAATGGAATAAAAAGCTGACTCAGACTTGGCTCGCCTCCAGCAAACATCTTTGTGCAGGGTTGTCTACACCAACTGCAGCGATTTCAACTTCACATATTAACAGATACAGATCATTCCACAACAGAATTCAGTTTAACCAAGGGATCCACGCTTTTGTCATCTATTGAAGGAACATCCTACCTAGACTCCCTTTTTTTTTTTTTTTTTTTTTAAACACTGACGTACTAAACATTTTATTTCCTTGCCAAATGGAAAATGAATCACTATACCTACACGTCTGTGTTCCACTGGTTGGTCCGGGTGTTGAAGAAACCCCAGCTGGCTGCATTCTGAGGCGTCATGACGCAGTTGTCCAATCCGCACAACATGGACACCACATAGTCCTGAATAGTGCCTGCAGCTGTGAAGTCCTTGAGGAACTCAGGCCTAGCCGTGAAACAATGAGATATTTTCTGTCAGACCAATTTTAAAAACAAGGACTTAACAATATTAAAGTGACAATAAGACAGAAAGTCAATAAGGTGTTCATTTTAAAAAAAATCCATTAAGATCTGTCTTAAATACATAAGAAAATTAATCAACAATAATGTGTTAGTAAGCAAACCATATTCCTAGTTTGCAAAATAATTAAATAAATTTACTATTAAGCACCGATAACAACATGATAATGCAAATTCTTTATACTGAGAGCATTTATTTTTCCATGTTATAAATCACCCATATTTGACTCAGACCAGCAAATAAGAACTTTCCCACAGAAATCATTATTACCTTGCTTAAACTCAGGTTTCTTTGATATGCCCTCACCTGTGCTTCATGTACCAGAAGATTGTTGCACATCCAAATCCTGTGGCCACACTGAGATGTGAGTCTGGTTTTGGAAGAGAAGACAAGAAGTCACTACTGCAACGTCCATCCTGCCAGGTGATCAGCTGACTGGTGTCTCTGGCTGTAAAGGATTCACTGCTGGGCCAATCACTACCTGAATTAAAAAAAAAGACAGGGACATGGGAAACTCAATTTTGTGACAGGAATTATTCCACTTCATTCCACATATTTTTTTAGCTCAAACGTCAAGTTATTAAGCAATCAGCAGAGGGCAGCATAATCACACAGTTACTCGGAGAAACTATTTTTATTGCTACAGTCTTGTGCGTCAACATATAAACAAAAAAAAAACATCTATATATGTCCCATGAATATATTTTCTTGAATTTCTTTGATACTATTCTGATACATATTCTGTCCTTTAACTTCCACATCATTTAATGTCGCTTCCTATTCCACTTTTTTCTACCTCATCTTGAAGGCGGTTGTGAGTTAAGTTCTGATTCCACAAGACTTACCTGATTTAATCTGCTCTACTCTGTGTCTATTCCTCCACGCTTCTCGCTGTTTGCTCACTGATTAAACATGCGGTACATTTTCACCCTCATAAAACAATTGCAACGCGTATATTGACAATGTACACCAATTTTACAGGAAGATAAGATAAATTTGATAGTTAATTCATTAAAATCTGGTTTCTGACGATTTTTTAATAAAATTTTTACAAATACCACTTCCGCCTTAATTATTCTTAATTATTCTTTTTTTGTCCATAAAAAGCAAATAGCTGTTTCAGTTAATTGTAGCTTTTAAAGCCGTATTTGTTTCTATCTTTGTTTGTTTCTCTTTTTTTCAATTACACCTGACAAATTAATGAATGAATGTGTCATACCCTTTCTTCAATTTCGCGCCGTTGTCGCCCAATTTACCACAAACAGTAAAAAAAACGCAACAGGAAACTTGGGCCTGCAGCTCTCACCACTCTCTGCTCTCCAGAATAAAACTCCGTGCATCTGCCCGGACACACCGATGCTCCTCACACTCTGCAGTTTGTCTCCGGGCAGGAGAGCCACGCATCGATTTAGAGTGTCAATAATTGCACGTGTATCCTGTTCTTTAGCCTGCAACACAACAAAAATGTATCCCCGTTATATACGAACTGACGCATATGGCTGAATTCACGAAACTGCGTGGTACGTTAACGCAACATACTTACCCTAATGCCGTTGCTGTCAGTGATATCGGACTCAGTGGCTAAAGTCTGAGAAGCACACACTGTTTTTGAGTTGGTCTCTAATAAAACTACTTTCACCGACGTGGTTCCCACGTCTATACCCAAAATATAGGACATTTCTGACAGCTTTTCTCTGCTCTGTCAGAGCATATCACCAAGGAGGCAAAGTCCTTAGAGATGCATTTATGAATAGTAGTAAATCCAACAATTACATCTTCAGTCTCTACCAACAAAAAGTCGCAGGTCTTTAGAGCTGACCCATAGAAAACCATTAATGAATAAATGAAAATTAATAAATCGACGACTTTTAAAACATTGTGTTTTAAATAGTATGTTGAAATTGTATAAAACTTTGTGGTACCCTTATTTTAAACCACATGAAAGTACAAAATGTTTGAGGTTGATTTTAAACTTTTATGAATTGTTTAAGGTTAACATTTTTATTTCTTAATCAGTCAATGTGATGATAAATGAATGTCTTGAAATCAAAATACAAAAAAGTTTTATCCAAATCTAATAGTGGAATTTACAAGGTTTCGATGTGCATTCAATGCAGCCTCCTGTTTGCCCTTTACCCACAATGCACCGCGGGTGAAAATGGTTGACTTTGGTTAAGGATCGTCGACGAAGAGAGAATGAATGTACTACTGACAATGACGTTTCATTAAAACAAAGGAGGTGCTCGTGAACTTTTCGCACAGAGTATGTATTTGTGACTCCCTCGTAAGAAACCGACACGTTTCCGCTTTTGTTTTAGGTGGGAAACTATTATTATAAGTCAATTTTCTGCGGGTCTACTGCTAAGCTAACGGTGCTAGCGCTCCACCGACGGTGCTTACTGGGTTTTTTATTTCTAGGACCTTGGGAATTAATACGAAGATTAGACAAAAAATAGGTCGATTTTTCCTTAGTTTATCTCACCGATGTTGTTTCATTGTTTAGTCACCTCTCCTGGTTTATAATATTTGTTAGCTAAGACGTTATATTGCGCGTGTGTCGTTGTAACCACAGAGCACTTGTATATACGAGATGAATTACAGTTTATGGTAATGGCTAGTTACTGTTTGGCTTATAGAGGTTGTTCAGACTTGTTAAATCTCATAATAATTTTATTAAGATATTAAGATGAAAAACCCCTAGTAAAACATCGGCAATGGAGGGTCAGGCTTTTCACAATTTGCAGCACTGAAATGATGAACCATTCCCTAATGGGAATGCTTTTTATATACCCAAACCTGTTTCAAATGTACTTGTTATTTCACAATCATGGGTTATGTGCAGTCAGTATAACCCACCTAACCTTCATATCTGGTTAACAATAGGATCTTGATTTAAAACAGGCCTACTATACAATTTTGTGTATGTGTGCATTAGTCACTAAAATGTTGTGTGATCTATACTATTACATCAACAGCTGTACCTGAAGTTGCAGACCAGAGCCAACATGGCAGGAGTTGTTGCTAAGCGTGAGGGTCCACATTTCATCAGCGAAGTGGCTGTGAGGGGTAATGCTGCCGTTCTGGACTACTGCCGCACCTCTGTATCTGCATTGTCTGGAGCAACAGCTGGCATCCTGGGATTGACAGGACTCTATGGCTTCGTTTTTTATTTTCTTGCTTCCTTCCTCCTCTCTTTGTTGCTCATCCTAAAGGCCGGACGGCAGTGGAACAAGTGCTTTAAATCGCGACGGCTGCTCTTCACTGGAGGCCTTGTTGGAGGTCTTTTTACTTACGTCCTATTTTGGACTTTTCTATATGGAATGGTGCACGTATACTAAATGTGTTTATTTAAAATTAACCACAGTTATTTAATCTTGAAATATTTCTGTCTAAACATATGTAATCCAATAACACCGTCAGTCCCTGCTGTGTATACAGTACGACGAATTAAATGTCACCTGCAGATTTAACTGCAACTTTTCTCAATGTGTCATGCTAACCTGTGACTGTTAATACATTTTACCAATGACTTCTGATCTAAAAATATTTTAACAACGTGCTGCTTCACATTCGGTTCAACTAAAGACATGATTACAGATATGAACAGCTCTGTACTAGTTTGCATAAATAATTTAGCAAAGCCAGTTTTAACTAAATGAGCAAGTCACATAAAAGTCTCTGTTTTCAACAATAAATACTGTGATATGAAATAAATAAATTCAGTAACAGATGTCTTTGCATTTGAATGTCATTTCACTAATGATGAATCCTAACCTCAACGGTGACTTTGGCCAATTAAAACAGACACAGGTCATAACTTATGAATGTTAAAAAGAGTGCTTTTTTCCCCCACACAATCATCACAACCATTTTCAAGTTTTTGAAAAAAAAATATGGCTTTTTCTTGTTTCTGCTTGGTTTAGAGTTTAAAAAAAAAAAGACTTTTTCTTGTTTCTGCTTGGTTTAGAGACCATCCATCAATTTATTTATAAATCAAATTTCAGAGAGTTGGTACTTTCGACTGTATATATGCAATAGAGACATTGGTCTAATTTTGTTATTGTATTTGAATCTACAAAGACTTATTTACCTGGTAAAAGATCAACAGAAAGACCAGTCACCTACCCATCCAATTTTTCAATTGTACGCAAACATATGTTTGATGCACATTAATTACTGGGGTCATGCTATTTGGTTTGGAAGTTGAGAGGTTGAGCCACAGCATTGCACCTGTAAATGTATGTTTTGTCATTGTTTTTCTTTCAATTATGCAATGTTTTTAAATCAGGAAGCCTGGCATTGTTCCATGGAATTCATGGGAAAATACATCCCACAGCAGAATTTGGCATTTTAGAGCGCCAATATTAACCTCTCTATCAACGATACCTTGATGTACCCAGCACTATGTGTGCACTTTGTTTATGGCATATTAATGATGTACCTCCATACCATAAGTGTTGGCTTTTGTAGCTTTGCTAGTAGCAGTCTGGACTGACTTTTTTTTTTTTAAACAAAACTGTTGCATGACTAACTCTGCAATCTCAAAGGAGCACTTTTTGACCTTTTAGTGAACTGTGATTCATTGATAAAAAAAAGTAATAATTAGGAATTGATTTTTTCCATCATGTTAGAAGTTTAGTTAAATTGCAAGATCACCAAATTGTGGGAAGGACTCCAACAACTTGCAGGTATTTCTGGCCATAGCATTATAATCTGTCCTAAATTATTTATGCTATCTTGTTAAAGTTGGATAGATTTGGGGTTTTTTTTTTTTTCAAAATGTACCTTTTAATGTATAGGAATTAAAATTAAGTAGTTTAGTAAAATGACTTGCAAGTGTACCATTATTCTCCAGGTGGTAATGTATGTGTGTTTATTCCACACATACAAAATCAACCACTTTACAACAACATCGACGACCTTCTCAATCGAATACTCCAATCTCCTTCCAATACAAACTCCACAGTCCACAACCCCTCTTTCAACAAACGTTTCTCCGTCCCTTTTATCCCTTTCCCTTAATCACATGACTAATTGGCTCAAACCATTGAGCGGTGTTTTTACATATTTACACATATATTAATAAACCATAAATAGTTACATAAATACAATATAAACACCTATTTGCAAACCCATATACCATTAATAAACACCACAAATACATACACATGAATATATGAACATGACATATTTACATTTACTCCCACTTCCCACTTACTACTGTCCTACAGAACCACACATAAGGGCCACGTTCCCCGGGGGACCTGTCTTGACGTGACACCATGTGAAGACAGAGCAGCAGGTTGTGGTAAGTTTCCCTTTGTGTTGTTCCGCCCTAGCTCAATCCACAATATACTTCGCTTCGTTTAACGAGTCTTCATACTCGTGTTTTTAGTCGGTGTGTCTGTGTTTTGTGCGTTCAGGCGGTTGAGCAGCGGCGGCTAGCAAGCGGACCGGCCCCGCGCCGTGCGCTTCCGCCCCCGCCGGAAACACACACCCGAACACGTTCAACCAATAAATGTTCTTTTTACACATCTCCTATGCGTCCTTATTACAGTATGTGCATGCGTATGGGGGTAACGGCAAGCCCGTCGTTACAGTCACTGTATTTAATTTGACTCAATCTATCAAAAAAGAAATGACACAAAACAGACAAAATGGCACAACAAAATACTCCACAGTCAAAAGGCTTAAATTGTTATTTCTTACAGTAATTCTGTGAAACACATACATTTCTGGTAGTTTAAAACAGGTATGTGATAAAGAATGAGGTTTCTTGGCTCACTGCACTCCCAGTTTTTATGCATACTATATAAGGAAAAATCCAGCGGTCAGAAGAGAACAACCATATACAGTAATGAACCTTTAGAGCAAACGCTCCTCCAAATGTTTACATATTTAGATTACAAGTGCGGTGCAATCCATCACTGTGCTCTCAACACAAGTGTTTGAATCTAGTGTCTGCAGTCACGTGGTCACTGGGTTTGATTCCCAGAGTAACCACATGCTTGGTGCTTGTCAGGGGCAGCCTGTTAAAGCAGGTCTGCCGTCAACACACAAGAATTTAGCTAATATGTGTTCAAGTTCTTTTTTTTTTTTTAATTTTCTCACTTCCTATCAGTATATTCCTTAAATTATTAATCCATGTAGGTCAACATGTTATGCAAAGCTGTCCAATGTAATTACTTAGATCACATGCCAAAGACGAACAGAGCTGAATTAACATTTGAGTTGAGAGTGGTGGTTCATCCAGATATTTACATCAATGGGAGCGGTGTCAAAGCACATGGATTTTGTATTGCATTCTCCTAAAAATTGACAGTACTCCAGTATGAAAAAAAAGGACTTTTAATAGTAGATTTAGGCAAATAATTGCTAGTGGTGATGCTACCTGCTTGACATTGTTGAAATAATATTCAACGATCATACTGCTGATTTTGTAATGTTTTGAAGCCGTTTCATGATCTGATGATTTACCTTACTTTTATTTAATATCCTAAATATCTTCCTGCATGGGAAATGGTGGATGACATCACACTCTCCCAAACCCCTCTGTGCACATGTCTATAGCAGCTCCATTGATCACAGACAACATTTGATCCTTTGTTTTTGACCAAGAGATCTTAATTATTCATATAATTTGCAGTGCAACGTTTTGAAAAACTATCTTGTCATCAGTGGCCAAGCAACTATCATCATTTATGGACTATTGAGCACATATTGGGATATGGGATATTTACTTTTGTTTTACTTTTTATTAAATAAATGCCTTTTTCAGTGCCTGTAACACGGCTGGTTACACGTTAGCTCTTTCCTGCTTCTGAGCCCCCGACTGTACTCGGAATGCACAGGGGAGACTTAGTGATCTGCTGCAGGGCTGAAGCTAACATTAGCTCCAGGGCTAACTCCCTTTACTTTGTGCTTGTCCGCAGCAGAGGTAAACAGAAACAGGGAAGTTGGGGGTCTTTATTATCAGCCACACCGATCACAACGGAACATAAACAGAGTTTCAACAGCTCCTGTATAACCAACTCACGCTTCAACATGACAGGGCTTAAACTGCACTCAACTTTTGCTACATGACTCTCTCGTGTACATATACGCATACAGCCATTCACAGACAGACATACGCTACTAGCATAACACAGTAGCCTACCAGAAAAGTCATTAATCGCTAGCGCTACGAACTTCATTAGTCCTTAAACATCTATAAATTAGCCACATCATTGCTTAAGGGTGAAAAAAGTAGCGGCTTATAGATCGGAAATTACGGTATGTTTTTTTTCATCACTGTAGAACATTAACATTTTATTGGACCACTGCATTTATATTGTGCCAAACCAGCCAACGCCTAAATTTGTTGGCACGCCAATTGTCTTTCTAGTGAGAAGTGGACAATCGTCAGGGTTGTGTTTTCACTTACTGTAGAATAACCCCCTCCACACCCCCTCCCCGAATCATAAACTCGCATGCATGTTAACTTTGTGAGGAGAAAGTAATGTGCTGCCTTGGCTGCGCAGCATTGGAGGGAGGTATGGCAGAGTATCTCTGTCCTGCGTTACGTGGAACTGTTGGCCCGCGTTTCTCCACTGATGGCTCCATCTCTGCGGAGGACGAAGATGCACCAACGACTTCACGTTCCTCTGACACTTTAACGGAGTTGCCGATCCCTTTCTCTTCAGATGGTTTTTTGGATCTCCTCTCCCGATGGCCACCCTTTCCGTCCTTGGTTTTGGTCCGTTCCTTCCTGTCATTTACAGTTACAGTTAATTAGACACGGACATGGGCACAAATATGATCTGCAGTGATTATTTGCAAAGTGTGTTATTACAACGGGTCATACTTAAAGTTGATGATTTCAAACTTTCTCTCACGGTAGAAGGAGCTCGTGTTCATCATGTAGAGTAATATCATATCACATGCGAAGGCTCCCTGGAAGGAAAAAAAAAAGATCCATGAATGGAATTTAAGCAGGTGATACTTCGTCTTTGCCCACTGACATTTTATAGTCCACCATAAAGGCACAGTCTGTAAGATATTATCATTGGTTGATTTCTCTGACATAGAGAAATAGAGAGTGGGAAATGGTAGGAATGAGCAATGTCAAGGGAAAAAGTAAATTATATTGGTGAGTCCACTGGAAGGTACCAACCGCCCTAACTGGGATTCGAACATTCCACACCAATGACAGAGACATTGCCTCTGGGCCAAAGCGCCACATGCTGTAATGCTTAAATGATAAACAAGCCTCCAGTCACTAGGTGGCAGCAACTCATACAGTGGTTTTTACAGATAAGAAAATACGTACTGTATTATCAGGTTCTCAATAGTATTTCAAATCGGAGGGGGCGTGAAAAAAGAACCACTGGTGTAAGGGCATGCTTAAATCGGAGCGGGCGTGAAAAAAATTCAATTTCAATTTCCTAGGTGGGCAAGGGGGGGCACAACAGATAATATTTGAGAACCACTGGTGTAAGGGCATGCTTAAACAAAACAATTAAGGTATTATATCATTGAATTTTTGCATAGATATTGATAACTTAATTGATACTTTATACCATACAGGTCTCTTTTTTCTGTCTTATAAATGCATCTTCCTTTTTGGTGTCATTTTCCAAGCCTTTCCGCTGTCTCATCATTAGGTTTTTATTCCTTTTTAAAGAAGTTAATGTTTGCTAAAGTTTAGTTTGAATGGTCACCGGTGCATGAAAATAATGGCAATAAAATGCTAAAAAGAGGAGCAGATGAAAGTGATCTTTTTTTTTAAAGTGATCTTTTAAATGAAATATCATGCAGAATAAATGTAAATTAAACAAAAAAATACAACTTGTTTTTTCTGAAATAGAGCAATGTACTAGTTAGGCAGACTGTTAATAACAATCCTGGAGAGTGTCAGTAACTTATTGGAGTGTTACTAACATCATTTATTTAAAAAAAAGGACCAATAACTTTACACGTATTGATTATGCCTGTGGTAAAATAAAGATACTGTGGGGCTTTAAGATACTCGTGATACGAGTTAACATCGAGTTACATCAAGTCCATCCATTTTTCCACTCACTCACTCACTGTCCCTCGCTGGGTTATTTTACCCATTTCACCCATTTTTATAACAATAATATAACATATAATGTTTTCTTAATTCTTATTATTCTATATTCTCATTATATTTTATCATATGTATGTTTTTGATGTTTCGATCTGGAACTAATAAATTTGTAATTACGGTAGTTCTTTTCAATTTGTTTCGATCTGGAACGAATGAATTTGTAATTACGGTAGTTCTTTTCAAACGGGGGAAAATGCAATCGGGATACGAGTGGATCGACACATGAGTGCTGGAGAGGAACGGATTCAACTAAAAATAATATATTGAAGCCCCGCTGTATTGGGAAGGATGCTGATAAATACATGTTTAAGTCATTGTATTGTCAGAGAGACAATCACACTCCAGTGGAGTAGCAGCTGCAAAAACATCTGCGAAACACCCAACGGAGATTCTTGTTTCGTTGGTCATACACAACACGTAATACAATAGATAAATAATGACACATTACCAGCCACTTGACATGTATAACAATAACATAACGAAACAATTACAGTTATTTACTCACTGCACCCAGCAGAGCGATCCCAGAACCTATGGCAATTATTGTTGGAACGATGCTGAATTTTCCAGCCTGCAGGAGAGTTGTTAACATTTAGACTCCATGTCTACAAGGACGCATAGGCATAATATTGAGAAGAGAAGCATTCAGATCACTGCTGTACCTTGCCATTGATTATTATATCAAAGCGTATTCCATACACTTTATACAAAGTTCGGAAGGTTTCGCCATTTTGATCTTTGAAGTACCTGGCATATCTGTAGGAAGAACAAGAATAATAATAATAATAATACATTTTATTTATAAGCACCTTTCAGGTCACTCAAGGACACATGTACATAAAAATAAAAGGGCATAGAAACACGTTTAAAATCAATGATGAACAGAAGCAAGGAGGAAGGAGGTTAGAGGGAGTATGCAGTCCGGAATAGGTGTGTTTTGAGTTTTGAGATTTGAAGGTGGGGAGAGAGTCACAGTTACGGAGATCGGGTGGTAAGGCGTTCCAGAGAT